CAGCCGCTCAGCAGGAGAACAATGAGGGTTCTCGTCCAAAGCCTTTAGTTCTAACAAGAACCTAATCGTAAGGCAGCGGGAGAGGCGAAGTGGAGGCCCATTTACTTGGATCGGTCATTCCTTCACCGCTTTTTATCGACTGAAACGCCAATTCCAGGTGAACCCCAACCTTGAGGACCAGGAAACTAAACTTCGTCTGACCTCTACCCATTGACCTTCCAGGCATGATAAGATCTCTTGGCTCTATATAGCCATCCTGTGTTGCTCGTTGGGTCACAGAGGTGCACAAGCCATCACACCACGTCAAGGTGTAGTCTCGTCGTGATTCTGACCTTTTAAGAAGATTACCATGTATAACCGCATCTCTATGATCGGTGCTTAAAGTTATTCGCCCAGTACGTTTATCTTCCTGTACCGTACCGTGACACTCACTCTTCTTTAGCTCATCGCCAGAAAGTTTAGCTCCTCAATCTGATCTATTCGTGCAGTTAGCCGAAAACGTTCTCCTACTTACGGCTCCGTTTGCCAGAGGTCACTACGGAAAGCGGGGTTGATCAAGGTCCTTTCCTTTTCAACTTTGTCATGAATATATTCCTGCAAGCGTTGAGGATAGCGATTCCGATGTGCTTTCTGGTGGCAAGTTGTTTGTTAGAACTCTGAAGGATCGATTGTAGGCTGAACCTGTCGTACCAATGTTCTAACATAGTGCAGGGACTCAGTCTTTACGGCAACAGGATAAAGACGGGGTATCGGTGTTTGACTTTTGTTGTCAACGCTGCTTTGCCCGATCCTGGTGAGGGCTAATTGAGCAGTGTTATAGTTGGTCGCGGTCGTCCACCGCAGCATGTTACTGGATACGCTTTTTGGAGAGCGATATTGACCGAAGCAGGCAATGGACGGAAGAAACTCAAGGATGGTTTAGTTAAGGACTGACGCTGTGGTCGGGGTCTCGGTCATGTGGGTGGCATTAACCCCTCTGTTCCGAAACTTGTACTCAGTCTAATAGATAGATAAAGACACTAGATGATGTTACTGCGATTCGTTGACAGTGGTTGTCGTGCAACCATTATGTTTGATCTTCCGTTTACTGCTTTCTCCTCTAAAAAGACAACTGGAAGACAGTAATGACAACCGTCGAATGAAGGTTTAAGACTAGTAGTTGTATGGACTGGTAAACTCTGTTCGGTTGTACGATTTATCCATTATTTTCCGGGAGAACGAGTGCCTGTCGCCAAAAATCTCACCTGTGTTTGTGCTGTATTCAGTGCACATGCGTCTGAATAGAACGGAGCTAGGAACTATGTGTATGTTCATGTACCTGTGGTGAAGTCAAGCTACTTCACGCTACTGTGGTTCCGGGTTTTGCCTTTCGAAAGTTGACCATTTCTGTGTATCACATAATTACAGGCCACAGGGTACATACAATAAATTGAAACAGTTTGGCCAGTTACGGAAACATAAGTACGCGGCTGATTTCTGTTCATTTCATCTCCACGCATTGGCTTTTCACAGGATCTGTAGGTTGAAAAACATTTTAATCTGAGCGTAAAACAGCGATCGTTAAAGACAGCAATAATGAATTCCGTTATCCGATATTGATGAAGACTTTATAATGTATAGTATCTGTGATGTCACGATGCTGACTATAAAGCCGCACGCAACACTAAAGCTTGGTTGGTTTTACCCTACTTTATGAATGACAGATTCCTGTTGAAGATCAGTCTTTCCTCTGGTCCGATAAATATCGACCGAGGAAACCGCGTTTCTTCAACCGTGTGCATACCGGGTTCGTTTGGAACAAATACAATCAAACTCACTACGATTTGGACAACCCGCCCCCAAAGATTGTTCAAGGTTACAAATTTAACGTGTTCTATCCGGACCTGATCGACAAGACGAAAACACCCACCTATACGCTAACCCCGTGTGAAGACCCAGCCCAGCGCGATTTCGCGATTCTGCGGTTTACTGCCGGGCCACCGTATGAAGATATCGCGTTCAAGATTGTCAATCGTGAATGGGAGTACTCGTACAAGCATGGATTTCGTTGTCAATTTCAAAACAACATATTTCAACTGTGGTTTCATTTCAAGCGATTCCGATATCGTCGATAGTTTACTGTGTCGATGGTTTACCGCCAGTATTTATTTGTTGTTTCATGCGATTTTTCCGATTTGCCTTAATTTTCCGTGTTTGGTTTGACTCCAACTTTCCCCTGTACAGCGTTTATGATTGGCGAGATGTGACGAACCGTTTGTCCGACATAAATCCTTTGACTTATTCATTTTTTCATACCTTGATGTCCAAATCAGTGCTTGTCTTATGTCGCTGTAGCTGGTGATCTAACCGCTGTCCGCGCCGATTGAACAATTCGGATTGGCTAGCTAGACAGATTATGCGGAGATTTTTCTGAGTTTTAGGTGATTGCAATTGCGCTTGACTCTTTTTGATCCCGTTTTCTGGGGCTTGTGTTACACCCGCCAACGGATAGGCTTTTTGGTAAGCGATATTTGCCGAAGTGGGTAAACGGAAGGCCAAGGACGGTCCGAAAAAGAAACAACTTTATGAAGTGAAAACCTTATTAAAGAACTCGGTCGTATGGGCCGTGTTAACCTCCTGAGTCGGGAACTGGTGAGTGTAGTTAACAGTGGCGCTTGTACGTCTATCCGCTTATTGGGCAGATAAAGTTTACTTTTTTATGATACACTTGTGTAAGGGACAGCACACGCGCTGTACTCCTTAGTCACGAAAACCTGCTGTTCGCCGAAACCGGTAACCTTGGCCCCGGAACTTGGAGTGGTGAACCATATAAGGCCTAGGTTAGGTGTGGTAATAAATCAGACGGTAGCAAAGCTACCTATCATCACACACGAAAACGTCTCCTTTGGGGTTACCTTCACACAGTCAACTATCAGTGGCATTCTCGTTGTTAAGACTATTAACCGGGCAGTCTGTCTGACGCTGAACAAGCGTGCTCGAGGGAGGAGGGCAACGACATAGAATCAGATTATCTTAAAGGTCATTTTATTGGCTAGACTATAGATGAGTTCATGCGCATGTGCTTGTGTGACCGTGCTGTACGCCTTAAACGCTCAGCCTTTCGCCGTTGGCGCCGCCCACACACTCCTCTTTCCCACCATCGCTTCGTGCTAGCTAGGAACAGATGCTCGACGACCATTCACAGAACCAAAGAACGCTTCGTTCGCCGCAAATCCGAAAACTTGGTCTCGTCTGCCACCGGTGGCCGAAAAGTTTGGTCCCTTGCCAAAGCAGTTTCCCGTAATTTCTGTCTTTCCAACTTCCCCCCTATCTGTAATTCCTCTGGTAATCTCGTATGTCAACCACACGAGATAGCTGAGGTTTTCGCTTCACAGTTTGCCGCCAATTCCATCTTACCCCATTTTACTACACCTCTACCCTCCTCACTGGCAACCGTTTTCTACCCCACATCAGCACCAGGAAAATCCGTCAAACATTGCGGTCTTTAAACGCAAAAAAACCACCCGGTCCGGACGGTATTCCTCCCATCGTCCTCAAAATGTGCTCCCGAGCTGGCCCCTGTTTTACGTCATCTTTTCAGTCTTTCCTCCTTTCCAACCCCCTGGAAACACGCCGTGATTTTTCCCATTCCCAAACGCGGTGATCCTTCTAACCCCAACAACTATCGACCAATCTCCCTCACATCTGTTCTTTCGAAAGTATTTGAATCTATCATTTCTGACCAACTACGCACGTTCCTTGAACGCGAAGGATTACTGAGCGACCGCCAGTATGGTTTTCGACCACGTCGTTCCACCGGTGACCTTCTGGCGCTTGTCTCTCAATCCTGGTCAGCTCCACTCGATAACCACGGAGAAACACACCTGGGCTCGCTTGACATCTCAAAGGCCTTTGACCGAGTTTGGCACGAAGGTCTACTGAGGAAACTATCCATGTTCGGGTTCCCTCCAGCGCTCGTAGCATGGATATCAAGTTTCCTCAGTAAACGAACCATCTCCGTCCGAGTTGATGGTGTCCTATCCCAGCCATTCCCTGTGAACGCTGGTGTTCCCGAAGGTTCAGTAATTGCGCCCACCCTCTTCCTTCTATTTATCAATCATCTCCTTCCCCAAACTACCAACCTGATCCATTCTTTTGCTGATGACGCTACTCTCCACTGCTTTCTCTCCTACCGCACTGCTCGCCATGCCCAAAACATCGATGGTGACCGTAGTGCAGTTACTGCGTCACTGGACTCCGATCTCGAACTCATCTCCTCGTGGGGCATTGCAAACCACGTTTCGTTCAATA